CGGCCTTCACTTATGTGCCGCGAAGAGACGAGTCCGACGATTACGTGAATCTCGTCAATGAGGCTCCGGTTCCGAAGCGGGGACTGAAAGCTCGGTTTGAAAATCAGCATCACTTCCAACTCATTATACCCGGCGTTTCCGACCAAAAGCTTAAACACATGTATAAATGCGTTCTCTGTCCACACGCGGCTCCCTTTCATCAGACCAATCGAGTCAATCACTTACGCACCGAACATAACAGCGACTCTTCGTTTAAGTGCGGTTACTGTCATTTCATTGGATCGCGCGATGCGATCAAAGAGCACTCAAAAGTATCGCATCCGAGTCTATCCGTATCCATCCATACGTTTATTATATCTGTAGAACAAACGTCTTCTATAGGACTCACAAATGAGGCGAGTATTAAGAAGTTAACGGCCAGAAAGAGCACTGCTTTGAGCACCGGATTAGTGTCGAAGGGAGGGAAGGGAGCGCTCACTCAGAAGATACTCAACACTAATTATGTTGATTTGGGTCCACTCGGCGGCGACCGAATGGGCAGAAAGCGGTCAATTGCTAGCGCCGAGAGTCAGCCTTTTAGCCGCGTTCACAATCGGTCGACACATTCCTCGAATATTAAGCGCAAGAAATTGGAGTCAAATAATGACATGGAGTTCGAAGAGAATGAAGATTCAGATGATATGCAACTCAACGACGAATCCGATTCAATGCAATCAGACGTTGAGAGCGACGCTAACCCACAATCAGACCCACAACCAGATCCTGGTTTATCCTCTGGCGATGAAGATATTGAAGAAGTGATTTCGCCGAAGAAGCAGACAGTGGCGCGCAAATCGACGGCTAAGCCGTGTTCTCAGTCGTTGAACGAGTCAATGATCGCCAAACCATTAGAAGAATCGGAGATTCCGTCAAAGTTTTTGTGCGTGTTTTGCGACGAAGGCTTCATTATAAACGATAAATGGGAAGCCATTGAACACTATAAGAGTCATTTGGGTCTCGGCTACGCGTGCTCTCAGTGCCACTTCAAATGCGTTGCCTATAACTCGATGGAAAATCACTGGCATAGTGTCCATAAGAGCGATG